AGAGGAAAACTATCAAGTGTATAATTACATCCATATCCGTAGCAGGCATCAGTAAACGGGTACGAATTCGAAATGGCATGTGGACTTGACGGGCGAACTCACTCGGCTCACCCAACGCTGTCGTCAATGTCAAATTGGGCTAGCGAAAGCTCAAGAAATCCGCATGCGACATCGCAGTATCGAAATCCTCTCCTGAAATAGAAACTCGCCATCCAGAGTTACCCTAGTTTGGTAGTTCCAGGGCCCGCGCGGGACTACTTGCCTCACTGCGGTCGCCTTTGCAGTCTTTTGGTGCCTTTTTTCCGTCGATTCAACAACCAGGGCATTCCCTCTGTTGTCATCTTGGGTCTGCATTCCAGGATTTGCGACTAGAGAGCGACATGACTCCATGCCAGCGACCATAGAGTTGAATCGTTTTTAACTTGTTAAATTTCTTGAAGTCACTGCAACGGTCAGAAAATCCGGACTCACTTCTGCTGGTTCGTCGTAGGACAAGCACTATAGGCGTGTAACTCGTTTGTGCAATCCGTCATCCCTTTCATTGCATCTGTCAGCTATTCCATGGCGTGTCGTGCCAGAACATCACGTCCATTCATCGCGTGGATTAACAGATCAGGATTCTCATTAAGATACATGACACAGTCTTCTACGCCTCGTATTAAGTCATTTTCAAAGAAGCAGGGAATGGCACCCACAGCTACTAATCCTTCCACGCCGAGCATCTACCGGTTCGGACCTAACCGACACCAGCCTGCGCTAAACGCATTCACCAGGATTCGAATCCCTGACCAGAGGTTCACTATAGGCTGTCCTGCTGGTTCGTTCGCCAGAGCAGCAGAGATTCCCGAGGCGGAGAGCGCGAACGTGCGACTCGATTCGAACTTCGACGGCAAGCCAGTACTCGCGGCTGTTACGGAGGCTCGATTGTGTACAGATGGAAGAGAGGAGGGAGAAAGTGAGGTAGGAGAGTCAGAGAAGAGCGAGAGTAGAGCGGGAAGGGAGAAGGTGGATGGCAGAGGAGAGCATACGAGGCGTGATAGGAGAGCAAGAGAATTGGAGGGGAAGGTTGAGGGAGGCGGAAGGAACCATCGAAGGAGGAGGGGATGCGAGGGAATGGAGAAGGAGAAAAAGGCAGTGGCTGTGATTGCTAGAGTGTTGAAGGAGAAATTTGGGCCTCAGATTGTGAGAGAGGAGTGGGAGGAGGGGTTTACAGATGAAATGATTACAGATGAGGAGGAGGCTAAGGTGTCAGATTTATATGACATAGTTGCTGTAGGCTATAGTGGGGTAGCACATATGGGGTACAGGTTTTCTAGGGTTGTATTTGTACCCAATCTTTTCTTAGTCATTTCATTCCTGTTTTCTTTACTTCACATGGTATAGAGCGGGTCCTACCTTAGGACCGTTTTTTTTTTAGGGCCCACCGAAGCGCGCCCCGAGGCGCGCCTTTTTTTTTAGCGACCCCCTCGGGTCGCCTTTTCCCTCGCGGCCCCGCTGTCCCTCAGACGCGGCCCCGCCACCTCTCCTGATCGCGGCCCCGCCGCCTGTTTGACGCGGCCTCGCCGCCTACCCTGACGCGGCTCCGCCGCCTCCCCTGACGCGGCCTCGCCGCCTCCCCTGACGCGGCTCAGCCGCCTCTCCTGACGCGGCCCCGCCGCCTGTCTGACGCGGCCCCGCCGCCTCCCCTGACGCGGCCCTGCCGCCTCCCCTGACGCGGCTCCCCCGCCTCCCCTGACGCGGCACCGCCGCCTCCCCTGACGCGGCTCCCCCGCCTCCCCTGACGCGGCCCTGCCGCCTCCCCTGACGCGGCCCTGCCGCCTCTTCTGCCGGCCCGCCACTGCACCTGCCGGCCTGCCGCTGCACCTGCCGGCCCGCCACTGCACCCTACGGCCCGCCGCTGCACCTGCCGGCCCGCCACTGCACCTGCCGGCCTCGCCGCTGCACCTGCTGGCCTCGCTGCTGCACCTGCCGGCCCGCCGCCGCACCCTACGGCCCGCCACTGCACCCTACGGCCCGTCGCTGCACCTGCCGGCCCGCCACTGCACTTGCCGGCCCGCCTCTGCACCTGCCGGCCCGCCACTGCACCGGTCAACCCGCCGCTGCACCTGACGGCCCCACCCCTGCATCTCCTGGCCGAGCCGCCTCAGCAGCCGAACCGCCCGTGAGCCGAGCCGCCCGACGCCGAGCCGCCCGGGACCCGAGCCGCCCTGCCGCCGAGCCGCCCGGGAGCCGAGCCGCCCTGCACCCGAGCCGCCCAGCCGCCGAACAGCCCGGGAGCAGAGCCGCCCTGCGCCCGAGCCGCCCAGCAGCCGAGCCGCCCAGCACCCGAGCCGCCTTTCTGCATACCTACACGACCTGCCCTGCCTGGTGAGCACAGTCCCACTGACACTGCGAGCTCTTTCCCTGCTGCTAGCACTGCGTCGCTGTCGTCGCCATGGCTACCCCTAGTGTCCTAGCTTTTGACGCTGAGGGTCGCGCCATTGATTTTGAGGTCTGGTTAGACGACCTGCAGCTGTTCTTACAGTGCGACAGGGCTGACGACCTTTCTCTCTTTGATCTCACCTCTGGCGCCTCTCCTGCTCCTGCTGCTGATGCTGATCCCGCTGTCCGCTCTAAGTGGGCCACCCGCGATGCTGCTGCACGTCTTGCTGTGCGTCGCCACCTCCCTACCTCTGAGCGTGCGCACTTCAGTCAGTACAAGAGTGCTCAGACCTTGTACGACGCTGTAGTTGCGCGCTACTCCTCCCCTGCCACTGCTGCACTGAGACGTCTCATGCTTCCCTACCTCTTTCCTGACCTCTCTGTCTTTCCCACTGTCGCTGACCTCATTACGCACCTCCGCACTAGTGACACTCGCTACCGCGCCGCCCTTCCTGCTAAGTTCTGCGCTAAGAACCCCCCCCCCCATGTACATCGCTCTCTACTACGTAGTCGCGCGCCTCCCTGACTCCCTTCGCGTCGTCAGGGACCACTTTCTCGCAGTCTGTCCCACCACCCTCACCGTCGACCTCCTCGAGAAGGCCCTCCTCGCAGCGGAGAAGAGCATAGTCGCTGTAGGTGCTTCTCGTGGTGACCCTCGCACCCCCATCTTTGAGGGGTGCTCTCCTTCCCCCTTGCTGCCCTCTGTTGCCTCTGCTGCTGCTGCCGACCTGCTTGGTCTAGAGTCGGTCGGCGCGGCGTCTGCCCCTAGTGGGAGACGTCGCTCCAGCAAGGGCAAGGGGGGCAAGGGCGCGGGTGGAGCTGGAGGGGGCGGTGGCGGTGGCGGCGGTGGCGGCGGAGGGAGTGGGGATGGCGGCGGGACTAGTGGCGGGGGTGGTGGTGGTGGTGGTGGCAGCAGCGGCGGAGACGGTGGTGGTGGTGCCAGCGGTGGTGGTGGAGGCAGCGGCGGAGGTGGAGGCGGCGGAGGTGGAGGCGGTGGAGGCGGCAGCGGAGGAGGCAGTGGTGGTGGAGGGGGTGGATCTGGTCGGGGTGGTACCCAGCAGCGTAGCGGCGGTGGTGGTGGCCAGCGCTCGCAGCGGCAGCAGCAGCAGCGCTCTCGGGACATCCCTTCGCCTCAGCAGCTTCGTGAGTGGTACGCTGGGCGTCAGAGGGGTGGGGGTACTGGTCCCTGCACCTACGTTCTTCGTTCCGGCGACCGCGCGGGTGAGCAGTGTGGGGGTGCCCACGCGACCCAGCGCTGCTTTGGCCGCCTGACGGACGCCTGGCGTCAGCAGTTCCCTGGGGCTAGTGAGATCCCTCGCTGGGATGAGCTTCTCAGGGCTGGTGTAGCGATCTTTGATCTTGATTTTGATGCTATCCTTACTGCTATGTATGTTGTGGATTATAGTGAGGAGAATGAGGGTTACCGCTGTTTCCAGCCCGACCCGGGCATTGGTCCTGCTGCGCTAGGTGCTTGTGAGGCTGCTGCTCTAGGTGCCAGTGCGTCTGCGCTCTCAGGTACTGGTGAGACTGCGCTCTCAGGTACTGAGTCGTCCTCGTCCTCCCTCACTTTCACACTTGACTCCGGAGCTTCTCGCTCCTTCTTTCGAGACCGCACTACCCTTACGCCGCTTGGCCGGCCGGTTGCGGTCTCCCTTGCTGACCCCTCTGGGGGTCCTGTCCTGTCTCACTTCTCCACTGTCCTCCCGTGTCCGGCTGCCCCTTCGGGCACCCTGTCGGGTCTGTACCTTCCCTCGTTCTCTACGAACTTGGTGAGTGGAGCAGACCTGCAGGATGGGGGTGTTCACCAGTTCACTCCTGCGAGTCAGCGGGTGACCCACTGCACGGAGGCACGCACAGGCCGACACCTGGCCACGTTCTCGCGTCGGCCGGGGTCGAGTCTCTACACCCTGACCGTTGAGTCTCCTCCTGTCCCTGCGTCTGGTCAGGTGGCTGCGTCGGGTCAGGTACTTGCTGCTGCGTCCCGGTCAGGTCCTGAGTCTGCCCCCTGTTCTTGTCGCCTCCTGTCTCACGAGACTCTCCTGTGGCACCACCGTCTTGGCCACCCCTCCTTGCCCCGTCTTCGGAGCATGGCTTCCCGTGTCCTTGTCTCTGGTCTTCCCCAGTCTCTCCCTCCTCTCCCCTCCGGGCCAGGACCTTCCTGTGTCCCCTGTGTCGAGGGTCGCCTCCGGGCTACTCCTCACTCCTCCCACTTCCCCCCGACAGAGGCTCCCCTGCAGACGCTTCACATGGATGTGTGGGGCCCAGCCCCCGTCCGTGGGCAGGGTTACGAGCGCTACTTCCTGTTGGTGGTTGACGACTACTCGCGTTACACCACAGTCCTCCCCTTGCGCAGCAAGGGTGCGGTCACTGAGGTGCTGATCGACTGGATCCGCGAGGCTCGTCTCCAGCTCAGGCAGAGCTTCGGCTCGGACTTTCCTGTTCTGCGTCTGCACTCGGATAGAGGCGGAGAGTTCTCTTCTCGCCTTCTGCGGGACTACTTTCGTGCACGGGGGATTCGCCAGACCTTCACGCTTCCGGACTCACCACAGCAAAATGGGATTGCTGAGCGCCGCATTGGCATGGTCATGGATGTCGCTCGTACGTCCATGATGCATGCGGCTGCCCCCCATTTTCTGTGGCCGTTTGCGGTGAGGTACGCGGCGCATCAGCTCAACCTTCACCCCCGGGTCTCTCGGCCTGCGATGTCCCCAGCCTTGCTGTGGACGGGGAAGGTTGGCGATGCGTCTGTGTTCCGTGTCTGGGGATCTCGGGCGTTTGTCCACGACTTGTCTGCGGACAAGCTGTCCCCTCGCGCTGCTCCCTGTGTCTTCCTTGGCTTCCCCACTGACGCCCCAGGGTGGCAGTTTTACCACCCCTCCTCTCGTCGTGTTCTGTCCTCCCAGGACGTCACGTTCGACGAGTCAGTCCCCTTCTACCGTCTCTTCCCCTACCGCACTCCTTCCCTCCCCCCTCCCCCGGACTTCCTTGTGCCGGTTCCCCCCCCGGTAGACCCCCTCCCCCCTCAGGTTCCTGCCCCCTCAGGTGTGTCCCAGGTAGACGCCGTTGACCCGGTCGAGGTTACTGGTGACTCTGGTGCTGCTGCGGGTGCTGAGCCTGGGGGTGCTGACTCTGGGGGTGCTGTGCGCGGGGGTGCTGAGCCTGGGGGTGCTACTGCTGGGGGTGCTGGGCCTGAGGGTGCTACTGCGAAGGGTGCGGAGCCTGGGGGTGCTGAGCCGGGGGGTGCTGTGCCTGGGGGTGCTGGGTCTGGGGGTGCTGGGTCGGGAGCTGCTGAGCCTGGGGGTGCTGAGCTGGGAGCTGCTGCGCCTGGGGGTGCTGCGTCTGGAGCTGCTGAGCCTGGGGTTTCTCCTGCTGCTGCGTCTCGCCGGGAGCCCCTCTCTCCACAGGAGCTGCGCGAGTGGTTCGCTCGCCGTTGGAGGCGTGCTGCTGAGTCTGGAGGTGCTGCTGGAGCTGGGGCTGGAGCTTCTTCGACCGTCGAGGGTGCGGGTGCTGCCGGTCCCGGAGCTGCTGGACCTGCAAGTCCTCCTGGAGCTGGAGCTGCTGAGGGCGTTGGTGCTGAGCCTACTGCTGTTGGTCCTGCCGCTGGAGGTGTGGGTGGCGCTGGTGCTGTCCCTGAGGGTGCTGGTGCTGTCCCTGCTGAGTCTGGAGCTGCCGCGCGGCCTCGGCCGTACTTCGTTCCGCTCCTGCAGCAGGTTCTTGGTCTTTCTCCTCCAGTAGAGGGTCCACCGCCTGTCCATTCGCAGTCCCTGCTGGAGCCTTCCTCTCCACTGCCTGCTCCCTCTCCTTACACTGGTCCTACTGGAGGTCTTGCTGAGCGTCGTGAGCCTGCGTCTCGTCCCGCGTCGCCTGCTCGTGCTGCTCGCGCTAGTGGTCGCAGTTCGCGTCAGCGTCCTCCTCCTGTCCCTGGCACGCACCGGATGTCTTTACGTCCGTCCACTGCTCCTCTGCATGCCCCTTTGCCTTCTCCTCCTGAGTCCTCTCTTCCTGCGCTTGCCGACCCTGAGTCGGACTCTCTTCGTAATGCCAGTCCTACTGTCACGCGTCTGCTTGCTACTGTCGTCACTGACCCCTCTTTTGAGTCCACTGCTGCGTCTGCTCTAGTCGCTGAGCTCGTCGACTTTGCTGCTCGCTGTCGTCTCGACTACGCTGCTAGTCTTGTTGCTGAGTCTGCGTCTGTCTGTCCTCCGTCCGTCGGGGGTGAGTGTGCTCTTGGCACGGACGTCCTAGAGGACAGGCAGGAGGAGTTACAGTGTCTAGCGGCTGCTTCACCTCATCTCGCGTCTGTACTGCTTGCCCCTGAGGGAGACCCGGATGCACTAGACATCCCGACTCCGCGTTCTTACGCGGAGGCCGTAGAGGGTCCCTACTCCTCTCAGTGGCAGGCAGCTATGGATGCAGAGATGGCTTCCTGGAAGTCCACAGGCACCTACGTTGACGCGGTTCCCCCTCCTGGGGCGAACATCGTCAGTGGCATGTGGATCTTCAGGGTGAAGCGGCCGCCGGGCTCTCCACCTGTCTTCAAGGCACGGTACGTTGCTCATGGCTTCAGTCAGCGGCAGGGAGTTGACTACTTTCAGACCTTCTCTCCCACCCCGAAGATGACTACTCTTCGGGTGCTGCTGCACATAGCCGCTCAGCGCGACTACGAGCTTCACTCTCTCGACTTCAGCACTGCATTCTTGCAGGGTAGCCTGCACGAGGAGATCTGGCTTCGCCGTCCACCCGGCTTCACTGGGACTTTCCCTCCTGGCACCCAGTGGAGCCTCCGACGGCCAGTCTACGGTCTTCGCCAGGCACCGCGTGAGTGGCACGACACACTGAGGACTACGCTTGCGGCTCTTGGGTTTGCTCCTTCTACTGCTGACCCGTCGCTGTTTCTTCACACCGACACTTCCCTGCCGCCGTTCTACATCCTCGTGTACGTCGACGACTTGGTCTTTGCCACAGCGGACACTGCTGGACTCGCCTACGTGAAGTCCGAGCTGCTGAAGAGACACACGTGCACAGACCTGGGTGAACTGCGCAGCTACCTTGGCTTGCAGATCACTCGGGACAGAGCACGCCGCACCATTACCTTGACTCAGTCACACATGGTGCAGCAGGTCCTTCAGCGCTTCGGCTTCACGTACTCCTCGCCTCAGGCCACTCCTCTGCCTACTCGCCACTCACTCTCAGCTCTGCCTTCGGATGAGTCCGTAGAGTCGAGTGGTCCGTATGCAGAGCTTGTTGGCTGCCTCATGTACCTGATGACCTGCACACGACCTGACCTTGCATACCCTCTGAGCATTCTTGCACGCTATGTTGCTCCTGGGAGACACAGACCGGAGCACATGGCTGCAGCGAAGAGGGTATTGCGCTACCTGTGCAGTACGTCGGGCATGGGGCTAGTGCTTGGAGGGCGGAGTCCAGTGGTCCTTACCGGCCACGCGGACGCTTCTTGGGCTGACGACCAGGCTACGCAGCGGTCGTCACAGGGTTACACCTTCAGTCTTTGTTCCGGCTCTGTCTCGTGGCGGTCTACTCGCTCGTCTTCGGTTCTCGGCTCCAGTTGTGAGGCTGAGATCTACGCCGGGGCCATGGCTGCACAGGAGCTTCGCTGGCTCACCTACCTGCTGACTGACCTTGGAGAGCCGCCTCGTTCTCCTCCAGTGCTGTACGTAGACAACAAGGCTATGCTGGCCTTGTGTCGAGAGCAGCGCTTGGAGCACAGAACGAAGCACATTGCTCTCCGCTACTTCCTTGCTCGTGAGCTGCAGCAGCGTGGTCAGTTGCGACTTGCGTACGTGGCCTCTGAGGCCAACACTGCTGATGTGTTCACCAAGGCACTCGCGCCTTGTGACCATTAGCGCTTTTGCACCCAGCTGGGTCTTGTGCCTGTCTTGCCTCACTTGCTCTCCTCTTGACTTCACTTGTACTGTGACATATATATATGCCTGCTCTTGCTTGTCTAGTTTTATATATATGTCTGTACTCCTGCATGTGAACTGGCCTCTGGCCCTACTCTTGTGCTCGAACTGTGTGGTGACTTTGTGATCCACCCTGAGCTTGCTTTGCTTTGCTTGACTGGTCTTGTGACCCCTTGTTCTCCCCCACTTTGCCTATGGGGGTGTGTCAGATTTATATGACATAGTTGCTGTAGGCTATAGTGGGGTAGCACATATGGGGTACAGGTTTTCTAGGGTTGTATTTGTACCCAATCTTTCCTTAGTCATTTCATTCCTGTTTTCTTTACTTCACATAAGGGACGACACGAAGAGGAAGAGGAGGGGGATGGGGATGAGGAAATAGAGGGCGCAGAAGCTGAAGGCGACGAGGATCAGGAATGTAAGGAGGGGGAAGACGCAGATGCAGAAGCGAGTGAGGAGAACGAACCACCCACAACATCTCCTCCCACACGCCCTTCTCCTCCACGCAACAGCCCTCGGGTCGTTTCCCCCTCCTCCCTCCTCTCCCTCTACCGCTTCTTCTCCTCCCACCTCGGCATCTCCTCCCCTTCCATCGTCGCTTCCCTCCTCGGCGTTTGCCCTGAGCTCCTTCGTTCTGATCCCACCAACGACCTTCTGCTACGTGTCCACCTCCTCCAGTCGTATGGGGTATCCCATTCTGACATCTCAGCCATCACCATGAGAAGCCCTTCCTGGCTCCGATGCTCCCTTCCGCAGATTCAGAAAATGCTTGACTTTCTCTTGGCTCTGGGCATACCTCGAACCAAGCTAGGTGCTGTGCTTCGAAGGTCTCCATATCTCATTTGCGCACGAGCTCGTTCAACGAACCTGGACATATTGGTGGAGAAAGCAGGGGTTCCTGTGGACAAGCTGGGTGTGATTATAGAGAGATGCCTCGATATTCTATTCGTGAGTGAGGAAGTCATAAGAAGTCGCCTCGAGCTACTATCAGCGTATTTTACCAATGGCTGCGAAGGAGGAGACGTCAGCAGCGAGCACCCGAGGCAACACCTGAATAGGCAGGGCAAGGAAAAAAATCACCTGAGGAAACTCCTGGTGAAATTTCCAGCTATCCTCCTCAAGGCTCACAGGCACTTCCCTGCCATTTTCAGCCTCCTCCAGTCCTTCACTCCCCCTGACAGCCCTTCCGTTGCCATCCCGATTCTCCGCCAAGCCCCCCATCTCCTCTGCCTCAGCTCTCATAATGTTTTAGCTAAGCTCCAGTACTTAGTGGAGCTCGTGGGGAAGAACGCAACAGCGAGTGTGGTGCGCAGCCATGCGTCGGTTCTTCTTCTATCCATAGAAAACATGCAAGGCAAGATGGCATTGTTGGACGATCTGATCGGTCGAGGGAACGCCGTGCTTGCAGTGGCTCGGTTTCCTTTGCTGCTGGCATCCAATGGGGAGAACCTTAAGAAGGGTTTCGGGGAACTTGTGCGAGAATTGGAAGCGGCAATGGAGGAGAGTGGAGGAGAGGAGAATGGGAGGCATATGCTCGAGGAAGGTGCACGGAAGCTTGTGCGAGAAGTGGAGGAGGCATTGGAGGGTCGTGAAGATGGTGGGTTTGCAAGAGAAAGCCGGACTCCTGAAGCGCCTCATATAGAAGCAAGAGAATGTGCAGCGCAAGGGGGAAGCGATGCTGGCTGTCAAGCAGGGTCCAAGGCCTGGGCTGAAGCAGGGGCAGAAGAAGGACCAGGTTCTAAGAGCATTGCTGGCACCACAACTTGTGAGGTGGTGGTGAATCTGGTGGTTAAAGACCCGACATCTATCTGCTACAGTTGGGAGGGGAACACAAGGTACAAGATTGAATACTTGAAGCGGGACATGGGGCTCTCTATTAAGGAGGTGCTTGTGTTCCCGCTCTTCCTTGGGTACAGTTTGGATCGGCGAATCAGTCCGCGACATGTGGCACTGCTGAGCAAGGGCTATATTTTGGTGCCGCATGAGTTGGCTCTTCCAAAACATAGTGGAGAAGGAAGAGGTTACTTGGAAGGAGTTGGTAGTGCGAGGAGAGGAGAAGAGAAGGAAGTAGACGATGGGGAGGTTGAGGGTGAGAAAGATGAGTTTGGGGTGAGGATGAGGCATGTGTATGGAGATCCATTGCAACCTATACAAGACAGCCTTGATGAGTCAGGGAGAAAACGGGCTGTTGGACGGCGAGGTGTGAATCGGCAGCAGGGAAGGGAGGCAGTGTGCTTGATCCAGATGCTTAAATGCCCTGACAAGGAATTCGAGAAGAGATTTCAGGTCGAGCTTGCACCGTTCATGCCGGAAACTCGTCCCTAGTCAGTTATATTGAAGCATTCTAGAAGATTGCCTGGTAATGGTGGACACTGCGGAGGGTAGGGGGAAGGGGGGAATGAGGGGGGTGTAAATTGGAGTAGAAGAGCCATTGGGAAGGTGATGGGGAAGGTTGGAACGGTGAAGGGAGATTACTGTGGAACACATACACTCTCGACCTCGATCCCACCTAAGGTGAAACTTCGTCTCAAAGTAGCTTAGCGGAATGAGTGGATTAGGGTTGTGAAAGCATACAAGTAGGATACCTAACAAAGTGTTGTACTCCCTAAGGAGCAACTCACTACAGCCTATCACAAATATAACATTTGACACACCCCCATAGGCTAAGTGAGGGGCATCAAAGCAAGCAAGGCGAGCACACGGTCACAAGACCAGTCAATGCAAGAAACAAGGCAAGCTCAGGGTGGATCTCAAGGACACCACACAAATTCCGAGCACATGCAAGTGGCCACAAGGCCAGTTCAAGGGTTCACTAGATTATAAATAGGAAACACAACAAGCAGAGCAAGTAACAAGACTACAGCAACTTAGGGCCAGCCTCAACAAGCCCCAACTGCACACAGAACCTGTGGTGGTCACCAAGCGCTAAGGCCTTGGTGAAGACGTCTGCAGTGTTGGCCTATGAGGCCACAAAGTCCAGGCGGGCCTGGCCGCGTCGCTGCAGCTCTCGCAGGAGGAAGTACCTCACGTCAATGTGCTTCACTCTGCTCTCCAGTCGAGGCTCTCGACACAGGAGGATCATGGCCTTGTTGTCAGCGTACAAGGTCGGTGCAGAGCGAGGCCGCTCACCAAGGTCGGCGAGCAAGAAGGTCAACCAGCGAAGCTCTTGTGCCGCCATGGCACCAGCGTAGATCTCTGCCTCTGCGCTGTAAGTAGCCACAGACGACGACCGTGTAGACCTCCACGACACAGCACCAGCTCCCAGACTGAAGCAGTAACCCTGAGTCGAGCGCTGAGTCTCCACGTCGTCAGCGTAGGAAGAGTCGCAGTGACCAGTCAACGCCACTGGCTGAGTCCCTCCAAGCACAAGCCCCACTCCTGCTGTAGTCGCCAGGTACTTCGCCACCCTCACAGCTGCTGTCCAGTGGACAGTGTGAGAATATTATTCTCATGTTCTAGCCTGTAGTGGGGTGCTCGATAGCGAGTACAACCCTTCTAGGGTTTGCTATTTGTATCCTCATTTCTGCTAGTTCATTCCTCTTTCTTCTTCTAATTTTGTCATGCTATCAGAGCAGGTCGATCCCCTTGGATCGATCCTGTGGGTGGGTTACCACCTCGCTTCCGCTGCTACTTTTTCCTCCCGCCGTGCGCCCCGAGGCGCGCGGCGGTTTTCTGCCCGCCGTGCGCCCCGAGGCGCGCGGCGGTTTTCTGCCCGCCGTGCGCCCCGAGGCGCACGGCGGTTCATTGCCCGCTGTGCGCCCCGAGGCGCGCGGCGGGCTTCTCCCCTACGTCGCGGCCCCGCCCCGATCGTCGCGGCCCCGCCCCTCGACGCGGCCCCGCTCTACGTCGCGGCCCCGCCCCGGCCCGTCGCCGCCCGTGCGCCTGCCCGGCTCGGCCCCGCCCTACCTTCGCGGCCCCGCCCAACGTTGCGGCCCCGCCCTATGTCGCGGCCCCGCCCTACGTCGCGGCCCCGCCCTATGTCGCGGCCCCGCCTCGACCGTCGCGGCCCCGCCCCTCGTCGCGGCCCCGGCCCCGTCCCCCCCCCCCCTTTTTCTCCCCTCCCCCCCAATTCCCGTCGCCCGTCGCGGCTCCTTCGGGGGCCGCGCGCGCTGTGGGGTGGCAGGTATGGGGGTGGCCAGTGTACTTTCCTCCCTTTGCTCCTCCTCCTCCTTCGTCTCCCACTACTGCAGCTGTCGCTGAGGGGGGTGGTTGTGTGGAAGACTGGGTTTAGGGTTTTAGGGGGGTGCGTGGGAGTAGAGCTAGTGGTGTAGCAGTGGGTGTGTATCAGGGGGGTGGGACTGTGTGCGGGAGGATGAGCGGAGGTTGCCAGTTTGTCGTCAGCAGCACCTGTAGTCCGGGGCGCTGTCCGGGTAGCCCAGTCGTAGCCAGCTGTGCCAGCCGCCCGTGGGTCCGTTGCCCGTCCGCCGCTATTTGAGCCGCGGGGCCTGTTACTCCTGTAGTCCGGGCGCTGTCCGGTAGCCGCTGTGCCAGTCTGCCTCCTGTTGCCCGTGTGTCTGCAGCTTCAGCCGTCGCCTCCTGCCTCCTCTCCCCTCACTCTCCCTCCTCCTCCTCACTTGCCCGTTGTGACTACCACTAGCTTTGCTTATAATTGTTAACTTTGAACTATTTCTTCTTGACCTTGTGCTCAGAATGCGTGGTGACATTGTGATCCACCCTGAGCTTGTACTGTTTTGCCTGCTCTGCTGATTACACCCCACTTTGGCTATGGGGGTGTGTCAGAATATTATTCTCATGTTCTAGCCTGTAGTGGGGTGCTCTATAGCGAGTACAACCCTTCTAGGGTTTGCTATTTGTATCCCCATTTCTGCTAGTTCATTCCTCTTTCTTCTTCTAATTTTGTCAGACAGGACGGTGTCTCCCAATCGCAACAAAGCGCGAAAGAATGTTGAGGGGAAAGGCGAGGTCCGGCCGAGTACAGGTCATCAGGTACATGAGGCAGCCCACCAGCTCTGCGTAAGGACCACTGGACTCGAAGGGCTCGTCAGGAAAGGGGCCCGTGAGTCTGTGGTCAACAGCAAGAGAAGTGGGCTGTGCGGTGGAGAACTGGAAGTCGAACCGCCGAAGGACCTGCTGCACCATGTGTGACTGCGTCAGTGTGATGGTGCGAGCGGCTCTGTCCCTGGTGATCTGCAGGCCAAGGTAGCGCTGCAGTTCACCCAGGTCAGTGCACTTGTGTCTCTTCTGCAGTTCCGACTTCACCTGAGCCAGCGCTGCCCTGTCTGCTGTAGCAAAGACCAAGTCGTCGACGTAGACAAGTATAAAGAAAGGAGTAGAACCCTCCCGAACAAACAGTGAAGGGTCGGCAGTCGACGGTCTGAAACCAAGGTCACGAAGCGTGGAGCGAAGAGTGTCGTGCCACTCTCGGGGCGACTGGCGGAGACCGTAGACTGGTCGGCGCAGGCTCCACTGAGTCCCAGGAGGGAAGGTGTCAGTGAAGCCAGGCGGACGACGCAGCCAGATCTCCTCGTGCAGTCGGCCCTGGAGGAACGCAGTGGAGAAGTCGAGGGAGTGCAGCTCGTAGTCTCGCTGTGCTGCTATGTGAAGTAACACCCGAAGAGTAGTCATCTTCGGGGTCGGAGCAAAGGTCTGGAAGAAGTCAACTCCCTCACACTGACTGAAGCCCCTAGCCACGTAGCGCGCCTTGAACACCGGAGGTGCTCCAGGCGGCCGCTTCACCTTGAAGAGCCACATGCCATCGACTACGTTCGCCCTAGGAGGGGGAACTGCGTCGACGTAAGTGCCTGTGGATCTCCAAGACGCCAACTCTGAGTCCATAGCCGCTTTCCACTGAGAGGCCCACTTCCTTGACACAGCCTCGCGGTAAGTGCGAGGAGTCGGTATGTCAAGGGCGTCGGGGTCTCCCTCAGGGGAGAGCAGCATGGCACAGACAGAAGGAGAAGTGGCTGCCCAGTACTCCAGCTCAGACTCTCTGTCCTCTAGGACGTCACAGCCAAGGGCAAACTCACCCCCGACGGACAGAGGACGGTAGGGAGGAGCAGGGACCACACGGGTAGCGTAGTCAAGGCGGCTAGCGGCAATAAACTCAGCGACAGCGACAGTGAGAGCGGAGGCAGTCGACGGGGGGAAACGAGAGTCGGTGACAAGAGTGGCTAGGACACGGGAGGCAACAGGACGAACAGTGCGGTAGTAGTCAGTGATCGGAGTGGGGAGGGTGGGGAGAGAGGACAGAGGAGGAGACGGGAGAACGGACACAGGAGACGGAGAACGGCGACGAGACGAACACAGGAGGGCAGTGTGGAGGTCAGTAACAGGGGACGAGTGACGAGCACGCGGGGGACAACGGGTGACCAAGTCACGACTGTCTAGGACTACAGGAGGAGGAGACTGTGGCGGAGAGAACGACCTGACTGCTGGACTGGCGTCCGGAGGAGGAAACGTAGGACCAAACACAGGAGGAGAGGAGGAAAGGCCAAGGGCCCGCGGGCCACTCACAGGTGGGAACAACTGCCGCTCCAGAGGGAGCTGTGGCGGCGGCTGCGGCGGCGGCTGCTGCTGCTGCGGCTGCTGCTGCAGCTGCTGCGGCGGCTGCTGCTGCTGCTGCTGCTGCTGCTGCTGCTGCTGCTGCTGCTGCTCCAGGAGGTCCAGTACCCGCAGCTCCTGCCGCTCCCTCTCCAACCGCTCCTGCTCCTCACGCTCACGCTGGCGGGCAGCCTGGAGACGTGTGTCGTGGCGGTGGGGAGGCGGAGTGGACTCCGCAGACCCAGGGTCAGACTCCTCAGACTCAGCACCCCCAGAACCAGCACCTCCACCTCCAGCACCCCCAGAGCTAGCGCCACCTGCGCCAGCACCTCTAGCTCCAGCACCCCAAGAGCTAGCGCCACCTGCGCCAGCACCTCCCGCTCCAGCACCCCGCGACCGAGTACCCCCAGACCGAGCACCGTCAGCGGCTGCACCTCCAGCTCCAACACCAACCGA